CTTCTAAACTAGCACCAGATATCCAAGATGCAATTTCTTTTTTAAAAAAGGAAGGTTATCAAGTCGAATCATATAAAACTTCTCACCAATCCACCTCTGGTTTTGTTTTTGCACATCCAAAACAACTTGAAAAGCTTCAGCGATATGGATGGCTAACCCTTATAGATTCAACCCATAAGACCAATAAATATGATTGGCATTTATTTACGCTGTATGTTTGGGACGGGTATGGCTGCTGGGATGTCGGTGGATATTTTTTCATTAGCAACGAAAATAGTGTTAACGTTGCAGCAGCATTAGTTATTGTTAGATAATTTTGTAGCACCTGGAAACCTCGTTATTTTTTGGCAGATCAAAGCAGTATAGAGACAAAAAGTATTATGACAGTCTTCCCAGGTCTTAGCAAAGATGAACAAGAATGTGATGTTATTTTTTGCACTGTACACGTTATGCGGACATGGATGAATAAAATATATGAATCAGAAACTCGATCCAAAATGATTCAAGCCATGCATAAACGAACAAAAATTGATTGTGATATGTTTGTTCAAAAAGCAATTAATGAATGTACCCTTTCTCCCGTTAAAAAATACATTTCAAGATATTATTCAGAAAATACTCACCAGTGGGCCCTATGGGCCCGCCAGCACTCTCCACTACTTTTACAAATAACATCGACAAATGCTCTGGAGTCATATCATAGCGAGTTAAAAAGAACAACCTCACCTCAATATGGTCTGATCGGTGCATGCAATAAGATTGTTGTACTTGATCTAAAAAAACAATCAGATTCTGATTATGTCGCGTTCGAATTTCGTGTTAAAAAAATTTCTGCCGTTGGTGTTGAAGACGATGTTCTTAAAAAAATTCATAAGTTTCCTTTTCCTATTCAGAAATTAATAATCAACGAAGTTCTTGCTTTTAACGATAGGATAGAGAAAGGTAAAGGATTGCCTGGCTTGTTGTCACTTGAATGTCATTGTCTTTTTTTTCGCAAATACATGCTTCCTTGCAAGCATATTCTCCACAAGCAAATGTATAGTCTCAGGAAATTGCTAATAGCTAAAGCTTGGAAACAATTTCAACAAATGTTTGACGAAGGTGGATTCGAAATTTATGAACATCGTGAGTTAGTAAGGATAGAATTTCCTGAAAAAAATGAAATCGACAAAGCAGCAGAAAATAGAAGACTTACGGTAAATGAGTTAATGGAGAGAACACGCAATGAGTATTGGAGCATCAAAGAAAGTGGCGGTAAAAAGGAAAAAGCTGAATTTATTCAAAAGTTAAAGTTTTGTTTAGATTCAGTCTTAAAAAAATAAATAAAATGCTTTAAAGCATTCGATATAATCATCAAGTAAGCATTAATAAATTAAAGTAAACCTGACTTCGATTTTTTAAATTAATAACTTATCAGCTGAGCCGATAAGTTATTAAGTTAAAAAATCGAATTCAGGTTTCTTTTAGCAGTATTCAAATGTAATATTAAATATAATATTAATCTGTTTATATTATAAAATCTACGTAGATATATTTATGGTGGTACCATTTCCTTAAAAATATTAATACTTGTCATTTTGATCTTTTAATTGAAACTGGTCTTGAAAATTGGTTAAACATATCCAGTTATTTTACTCAAAAATAAATTCCTTATAATTTTTTTTTACACTAATTTTAAGGGTAATTATCTAGGAGGTTTACAACAATTTGCACAAATATTATTGCAAACATTCAAATATTATTTTTGATTTGGATGAATTTCTTACTCTTTCAGAAAAAAACATGACAATTTACAAGTGAATGAAGGAATATAATATGAATTATGTTATTAAATAAGGTGTTCAAAATCCTTTTTTACTTCCCGACTTTAATAAATTTACTTTCTTTAATTCGCTGGCTTTTAAATCTCTTGTGAAAATTGTCCAAGAAATTTGGCCTAATTTAAAGAGCACTTATTCGTGCCTGTTTGGCTGTTCGGGCATTAGTCATTAGTAAATTTATTCAATAAGTAAATTTTGGTTCCGGGTTGTCGATAATAAGACCATCCGAGTACTGACGATCTGGATCGGAGGTCGGTGGATCACGTGATCGAACCTGGCTTTAACGGATCCCCTAACGCGGTAGTGAAATGTTTATACGTTGTTGGTGGTGCCAGATCCTATGATGCACCCCTTGAAAAATCAGACCGATTACACATATATTTAAAGCTCAAAGTCTTAATTATGTATAAAATGTGTTCCCGATAAGAGGGCTGAGTACGATAAATAATAAATAATAACATTGAAAGCTTGAAGTATGCACAACTTAGTCCTGATGGTTAATACAGCAGAGACCATTAATGTTACGCATATATTAAAACTGGTGAGGGATTATATCCATCACAATTGAATCCAACATAAATAATTTAATTTGTGATCAATCACAGGCGAGAGGGATTCACTTTGGATCGGACACTGTCTCTGCTGTAGATGGTTAACGGATGATAAATACATAATAAAAGCCTGTAGAGGGCATTAATGAAGGACTTCAAGACATTTCGTTATCCTTTCTTTTATTAAGGTCTCAGGACCTGTCTTAGATACTAAATAAATTATAACTCATAATTATCACCTACTAATATAACAATGTACTGATCTGACCTTATATATGCGTATATTGTTGTCATTGTAATTACTGAATTATTACGAATAAAATCTTGAATGTGTAAAAGCCGTATCGGTATATTTGCTACAGTAGATTACATTGTGATAATATTGCATTGTCATTCTGTATTAATTACTTTCTATTTGAATTATTAAATTTCTTAAATAATTATAATAAAAATATTTAATATAATACACTCAATCTTTATTGCGCCTTCTTAATCTATCAATATTTCTTCATACTTCTTTCTAATTTCCATCAGTATTACGGCATCGCAGCATTACAGCGTATATCAATATAGCATTACAGTTCATGGTTTTTGCAGAAATCGCATATATACTGTATGTTGTATGTCGGAATGGAATTTTAGAATCCATTTAGATTGACTTGAATAAACTAGAATTCTAAATCGTATTCGAGTTGTTAAAGAATTCGAATTCACTGACTATAAATAAACCTTAAAGTGTTGTTAAAATTAGTGATCAAATTGGTTAAATTGGTTAAATTGATCAAATTGATCAAACTGGTCAAGTTTAGTGCTAATTCCCAACGGATCAGGATATTATTATTACAAATATAATAAATATATATATGCATCCTTGCGTCAGATGACGCCCAGCCTGAGTTAGGGTTAGGGTTAGGGTGAAACTTACAGTGTAATTTAGGCCAATTATCGCAGATCATTTAACGCTGGTCATCTGGTAGTCATCTGACGTGCGTTAGCTGCACAACATATATAAATTATATTTTAAATCTATCATTTGGTCAATTTAATCAATATAATCCTTGGACTGGACTGGTCAAATTGATCTAGTCAAATCAATACTGTTTATAATGCAACGTACCGCGAACTAATTATTCACAATAATTTAATGCGTGAGTATAAATAATATTTATAAATCTAAATATTTTAAAATAAACTATTTATGACTATTACCGTACTGTATAGCACTGCATACAGTATCCGGGTATTATTTAAAAATCCCATCTTTTAAATCGAGCAGTACCATGGGTACTGTTTGAGGAACCGGGTAATGTATGGGTTAGGTGCTGAGAAAAGGAATGAAAATGACAATTTTTTTTTTTGAGCTTAACTAACTCAAATTAGTTTAGAGATATTTTCACTTAAGAAGCAAATGTTATTATCTTAATAAAATTTTGTAGTATAATTTTTTAAAGTCTTTATTTTCTTATAATTTATTATATAATTTATAATATAAATCAATTTTCTGCAAAACATTTTTTGTCAATTTCATTCCTTTTCTCAGCAACAAGCTCATATATAGGGATATATCATATGAAATCATAAATGAAGAGATAAATTGCGGTTGGAAGGTATAAAAAAAAAACCGCAAATTTAATACAATAATAGTAGAAATCGTCGAAGGTTAATATAGTCGGTTTATAGGGTTGAGCTTAAAATGCAGTTAGCTTATAAATAAGAGTTTTTTCTATGCCAAGTAAACCTTCTTCGAGTCTCCAATAAATTTATTCCGGTTCCATTAATGGTAAGTTATTGGAATTGGTTTAGTAGGTCGCATTTTCTCCTTTATAACTATATGAATTTTTATATATTGTCAGGAACTTTCAGCATTCCAACATTATATGAAAATAATTACTAAGAAATTTATATTCTTCAACTACCACTTAATATTCTTACTTGTCATTTACTTATGAATATCATATTAGACCGCAGGCGCATTCTCTACATGTAAAGCAATAAATATTTTTGGATTTTCTACATTTTATGGTATATTGAGATATGGGATTTCGTAAGCGATTTATTATCGTTAATAATGTTGGTCATATTGCCATTTTGTATTACATCGTGTATTTTCATATATTATGTTATTTAATGCTAGACCTGTCGCATAAAAAAATAAGGTTCTATTGTAACGGACCCAAATCCATTTTCAGTAACTTTTAAAATAAATTATTAAAAAATTAATAATGAATTTTATGTAAATGTAGATAGTAACCATAATAATAACAAATACATAATATTATTGTATCCCAAGTAAAAATAATTAATATTTAATTGAATAACAGTAAATTAGATCTTATTGGATCTGACCCCTAAAGAATCTGATTCTATAATTCCACCGTTAAAAATTTTTTTTTCTTCAGTTGATGACCAAAGCATATTTGAAACGACGAGAACTATCAACTTTGCACTATTACAGTATATTAGTTTAAAACTATCAATCACTAGAAATTTTAAATAGTTCGTATAATCTAGTTGTAATTCAAAAACTGACAAGCTCAAGTTATCATTTTGACTAGTAGGATATAATGTTTTAAATAGTTCGTATAGTCTAGTTGTAATTCAAAAACTGACAAGCTCAAGTTATCATTTTGACTAGTAGGATATAATGTTTTAAATAATATTATTAGCATTATTAGCAAGGGTTATTATTATGTAATCTATATCAAGCTATAGTTGGTGGTAGAATTACTGAATTACGGCATTACGGCATTCATATGGTAGAATTAATTACGGCATAGCATCTAATTGCCGTAATTATGTGGAGGAGCCAAAATTCGGAAAATCGACCAAAATTCTGGATCGGTATACATCGGAACGTTTCAGCATTACTTATTACGACCTGTTTCCGATGAATTCCGATCCAGGCTTTTGGTCGATATGCTTAATTTTGGTTCCGTATTTATAATTGCGGCAATTACGGCAAAAAATACGGCACGTGCCGTAATTCGATAATTTTCAAAATTAATTCTACTGCCAACTATATATCAGGCTACTTACGAACTGTTAGTTTAGACCAGAACGCAGTAGTCTTTTGTGGAATTAAGACTTGAATACTTCTAAACCGGATACATAGAACGATTTAATATCACCACCTAAAAAATTTCGCTACGTACCAGCATCAGGGGGTATTTTTGGTTTGCTTTTATGTTACATCTGATTTTGATCACAGTACCCTCACCTCGCGCCATTTGATTGTTACATTGTAATCGTGTTATTTATTATCATTTTTATTTATTATTTTATAAATACATATTGATATCCTCCTATTACCATGTTTGGTTATTCATTCATATTCAAACTGTTGGTGTCACGAAGGCATATACCAAATTCTTATATATGACGACGCGCATTGATTTCGCAATCATTCGACGATAACCTGAGATTAGTGACATTTTATATACAGTTCCACCATATATACAGTTTCACCATATGTACGGTTCCACCAATAAAGCCAATGTAAATAGATATTTAAGAGGAAAACATGATTAGAGGTACAAAAGGAAAGACAAGAGAACTAACCGTTATTGGTCGAGACCAATGTAAAAAATTCAGTGATCAAACATTAGGTGCGCATACCGTTGTAAATAGTAAGCAAAGTTAAACATTATTCAATATACAATATTGCAGTATGGAATTACATAAACACAATAATAACTTGTATTTAACACTTCAAATATATATTAATAATACAGTCTAGCGCACATTATATTTAAAAGTATTAAACTAACAAATTATGCGAGCTTTACAGTTGTATATTTTTTTGTGCGCAAAAAATTTTTTTATGTCGGAGCGCACATGCGCACATCATTGGTCGAGACTAAAATCATAAAAATTAAAAAACTCGACATGTCGAACAGCCATTTGACATGCCATTCGATCATATTGATGATCGAGTGGTAGCTACTGAATAGTAGTGAAAATAAGGTTGTGACAATAGAGTAGTATAGAAAATTTATGTTGTCAAATTGTATTTAAAAGATACTTTTTCACCTTCAATAAAATCCAATAAATAACATTATGAATTGGTAAACCGAAGGCAAAATCGACCCTCGTACTTATCTAATTTTCACGATTATTTAACTTGCTTCCATTGCTATTTCGATTATCGATCCTTCACTTACATTATTTAAATCGATTACTCCACCAATGGATCATTCTTATTTAATTTATCTCTACATTGATTCATCACTATTAGACCACTCTTAAAGGACTACTTTTTTTTAGATAAGTAATTTACATGTTTTCCATTTCCGTCACTTATTAGTGCATATACGGATAGATACTAAATTTAAACATTGATTTTTTAAAAGTTCATTGTTGATTATTTACCGGAGTACATTTTTACATAGACCTGTATAGAATGTACACAGGTATTAGTATTTCTCAAAATTTTAATTATAAGATTTATACGCTCTAAAACTAGTATTAAACGGAATTAATTTTTGTTTATAAAACCTGATTTGATTTCATTTAATTAAATACCAGTATATAGTTACCAACCCATTGTGATACTCTAGCGTCAAATCAAAATTCAAGATCAGGTTTAACATAAAATCAACACAAAAAAAATTCACCAAAATCCTAACCCTAACGCGGTAGCAATATGTTTATATGTTGGTGATGCTAGGTCCTATGATGCAACCCTTAAAAATCAGATAGATTACGCATCTTTAAAAGCTCAAAGTCTTAATTATATTTATATATGATATGTGTTGCCGATAAGAGGGCTGAGTACGGTAAATAATAAATAATAAAGTTGAAAGCTTGAAGTAACATTTTCTCTCGGCGGCATTCATATAACATCATCAAATCCTAATTTTACTCTCAATACATCGTATTATAGGATTTATTAACATTCATATAGATATTAGGTTCATGCAAAGTATTAATAATAAATTTGAACTTAATTTATTGTCTCTATATTTGATTATATTTCTACTTATATTATTCTTTTCTTTAATATGAAATCATTTATTTCCTTATCTCTGTAGTGATCCTGTATATCTTGTAATACTTTTTGTTGTTTTTACACGAGATTGTACGAGACCTTTATGTAGATCTTCATTTATACATATGACTTAACTGAAAGAAGGAAATGGCCCATAAATATGACAAGCAAATATTAAATATATACAAATGCAGATATATTAAAGTTAAATTAATATTGGCAAAAATTTCTCATGCAATATTGTCTTTCATAAACTTTATTGTTTATTAGATTCCACCGATGATGAATTATTTAACACTTCATACCGATTTTTTTTTATATAAGCAGTTCAAATAAAGGATATGGTAACTATTAAAATTTTATAATATTTAAGTTGCTAAACGCATTATTTTAATTGTCTATAGGATATATACACTTTTTTATTCCAAAAGCGAACACTATTAAATGTGTGAAGAGCACAAATTCAGATGATTAATAGTGACAATTCCTTAATTTACTTTTAAAATTGGTATAAAATGGCGTCAGAACCAGCATTATTGACAGCAATACATTTCTTACAAAACCCTATACCTCAATATGTGTTGGGAACATTACCAGCTATAGCAATAACGGGAACAAATCCAGAAAATTCTTTGTCAGATAAGCTTTATAGGCTATTACAATGTCTTAGTTGTCCGTTTATAGGATTATTCTACTTTTGTAATGTAGTGAGCAAGGATGCAGGGAGTAAGGAAGTAGAGAGCACAAAAGTACAAATGAGCGCATATTGGCTTGAAAAAGATGAACATTCTCTTGAAAAAGAATATTTCATTCACAATCAGAATGATAGCAGTAGCGCTCAAGGGAGTGCCAGCAATGACGATCAACCTTCCATTCAAACTGAAGATAGCAGTAACGCTCAAGAGAGTACCAGCAATAAAGATCAAATTTCCGGTGATAGCGTTAAAATTTCCGTTCAAAGTAATTATCTCATTACTTTTGGATACTATAAAATGAAATTGAATTCCGAACAGAAGGCAAAACTAGAAAACTGGGTAGCAAACGCATCCTTATTAGATAGACTGGCATCATTAGTGTCTGCATATTACATATTGGTTGGTATATTTGTGGGGATATCTAAAGCAGCAGGACCATGTATGGAAGATAATTCGTTAGAAGATTGGCCATTCATACCATTGTTATTCATTTGGACGTTACCCATAATTTACGTAAGAATAAGAAGGGGAAAAGTAGTATATAAATTGTCAAAAAACGACGAAAATTATTTTGAGACTCATCCAATACATGTCACAGCTCTTAAAGGCAAGGATCGTAATAATAAAAGAATATATGTAGCAATTACTGCTTTATTTTCAGTAACAACGCCTTGGTTAGCAGTAATTATCGCATATTACACTCCCCCAATTGGATTTTTCTGCCGGAGTAAGTTCCTTACAGTAATATGTTCTATATGGACGCTCAATAATATCGCTGCATATATATCTCATGCGAGAGAAGAAAGAAAGGAAAAAGGGGAAACAAAAGGAAAAGATAAAGAAGTAACAAAAGGAAAAGATAAAGAGGAAAAGGAAAAAAAGGAGGAAGAAGGGAAGAAAATAATAAAAATAAGCGATCCATATATTGATATTTGGTTCTTCATTTGTGGCCTTATAATGATTGTGCTTTTTATTCTGTTGAGTCTGTTAGCAGGCACAAATTCATGGTGGGTAAGCCTATTTGGACCCTCTTGTGATATTTCACTTACGTGTTAATGAATCCGAGTGTTGCGTGATCAATCTCATCTTATATTTTATACTTTTTATCGTCATACCTAGTTATATTATACTATTCTTCGCATATATAAGCTATAATTGTTTATTATTATGATTTATTTTTATTATTATATACATTTAAAAAATTAATTATGATTTATTATTATTATTATGATATACATTTAAAAAATTAATTATGATTTATGATTTATTATTATGACATACATTAAAAAAATTTAATACTGAAGTTCATAGTTAACAAATGCAATTGACAAATAAGATTAGTTATTAGCATCATATACAGTTAATTATATCCGATACTGGAATGTTAGTTCCTTTCATTGCCTTTTGCAGTAATGGCATTTGGACAAGTTTCGGAAATTATCTAAAACCTTGGCCAAAAACCAAAATTTAAAAGTTCTGAACATTTGGACAAATGACTAAATAATCATATGACTTTAATTATACAATATAATTGGTTAAAAATATAAATACTATAAAAAAGATTGATTATAGTATTTAATCACATGATCTAATATATTCATATAAAAATTTGGACACGTCCAATGTCCAATTAAACTTTTGAACATGCCCAAAACCCAAATTTTGTGTATGTACTGTACCTATTTTTAGATTGGATGACTCTAATAACAAATGAGGCGTGTAACATCATGTTACGATTAGATTCGTCCTTATGATAATAAATACTACACGGCAAGATTCCATTAAAAGTATGTAGTTAAAAGTGGTATTGGCTAAAGCAGTTTGTGAGTAATCCAAAATTGAAATGTATGTAAGTTGTATTAGCAAAACAATTCTAATCAAAAATTTTGCCCGCAAATTGATTTAAAGGATTAAATAAAATTTATTTATAAATCAAAAATATGTAATTTTAAAAACAAATTTAAAAATAATTTACGATTTTTAAAAAGTAAAAATTTATTATTATAGTTCTTTAATTATAAAATTAAAAATTTTATTTAGATAAATTTTGTTTTAGTTTCAGAGATACTGTATATAAAATTAAAAAAAAAAAAATCCTAGTATAAATTTGAACAAAACTTTTTGAATTTTTTTATAAATTTAAAAGATTTTCTTAATAAATTATGTTCTTTTTATATAGAAAGTATATTATTAAAGCATTAAAGTTCATTAAGAAATTAAACGGTTTTTGTAAAGATATAGGCAAATTTGCCTGCATTATAAATTAAGAAATAATAAATATCAAGTTCATTTGGTTGGTTAAATACATTAAACTTAAAAAAGATGTCTATAATCGTGGCAATACCAAATACCCATTCCTACAAATACTGCGATCCATGAAACAACAAATGGTACATATGATCTATAATTGAGCATCTCGCTTTGCGAAATCGGAATAAATGACGCCACGGCAATAAATGCAGTACATAATATATAAATTACAACGATAATTGAAGGTACTTTAAAATTAGTGTAATGACTATCTCTCATATTTTTCCTTACAATCTAATTTGAAATTAATAAATTTTTAGATAACTTGATTAATCGATTAAATTAAACACGGTTAAATAATTAAACTTACTAGTAAGCAAATTGCACTAACACCATAAAACACCATAGCTAAATACTGTGACATCTCGGAAAAAAATGGAAAAAAATTTGTGCCCACCGGGAATAAAAGAAGTAAAAGTGCGCAATAACAAAATTGTAAAATCAACGCATTAAACGGTGTATCGAATGTTGTGTGCCAATTGTACAGGTTGTTGGATATTTTCGGTATAAATCCAGTTTTAGCCGAATAAGTTATAACTCGAGAACCCCTATTTAAATTTTTTTAGCCGTTTCATAAATATTTTAACAACTTCAATTTTATACCTAGTAAAATTTAATAATCTTACATAAAAACCAATGAACCCACACATCCACAAGAAGAAATTAAGATAAATAATGAAATAATTATTCTTCCGGGTTCACCAAGTATAGTGCGCCCAAAAACTATAGCAATACTTTCATCAGGGGGAATAGCTTGTTTAGGGTCGACAACCGTTATAAAAGCAATTTGAGTTAATGGATCTGTAATAAAAAAAAAGTTTAATTCTAATATAAAATTATTAAATATAATGAATCAAATAATTCAAATATATAACATATATATATAACTTACAAAGTATAAGAGAAATGATCACACTAGAAATAGTTGAATATTTCAATTTTTGGCTTTCAGGCATTAATGCATTGGCTGGAGTCTTTAATTCCTCGGTTGAATCTAAAAAAAAATATTTAATCCTGTTTTTAATATTATCGTTATTGTAAAAAAAGTGTTGACTTCGGTAGATTACAATGTTGTGCGAGAATAGAAAATCCAATCTCAAATAGATTATGGCTGAAATGTTATTGATGCTATTTGGATTTTTAGAAATTTCTTGCTATCATAATGTCATCACAAACATCACAGAATCGAACCTTTTAGTAAGCGTTATAATAATTTAATGAATTCACTTACAATTTAAATTATTCCATCCTTTATGTAGATACAAGAATACATGAATTAATTATAGTTTAATAATTGATCATAAGTGTACAGAAAGAGTTGATTAACGCACCTTCATAAGAAAATAGAATCTATAAAGTTCACGTAAGCTTTAAGTCAACAATTTAAAAATATTATATAATATGAATGACATCAAAAAAGAAAACCCGAAACAGCGGTCTTTTGGATTTCTTTTTTTAGCTCGGAATATGTTGTTCGAGTAATCAATGCATCTCATGGGCAGGAGTTCGTCTTATTGGCTAATAAATTCAATTTAATCTTACATTATTTATACACTTTTAGAGTACTTTTTTAAAAAAACGAAAACCAACCACAATAATGTAAAAAAAAAAACTATATAGTAGGTCTCCCGTTTAAAAAAATTAGCTTACTAATAAGTTGATTTTATCGAGTTTTGAGAAGTTACTATTATACTAACTTTTTTAAACGGATGAGAATTAGATCTTATTTTTGGCCATGAAGTCCTACAGTTCTAATAAAACCTTTCTATACAGCTTTTTTTTTATTTTACCATGATTAGTTTTCGTTTTTTTAAAAAGTACTCTAAACTGTATGAATAATGTAAAATTAAATTGAATTTATTAGCCAATCAGACAAACTTCTGCCTATGAGTTTGCATCTCTTAAGTCAATAGTACTCAATCAATAAATTCGGAGCTTAAAAAAGGGAAAGTCGCCATTTCAGGAGTTACCAGATATTTACTTTTAACATAGCATTAACATAATTTCCAATCTGTTGTAAAATAGGTGCATCTTCTGATTTTATATTATTGAAAATGTCAGTCCAATGATTTTTGGAATCAGTTTCTTTTAACATTATTAATCCAACTATTGATATGATAATCAGGATAGAAAATTTAATAATGGCAAACGCATTATTAATTTTGATTGCTAATTTATTGGAATACATGTGATATGCGGTGATAATTAGCAAAATAGCGATTGCTGTAAACCGCGACTCTCTACGTATAAAATAATGTTGTTAAAATGAGTTATGTACATTTTTTTTTAAAAAAACACAAAAACTTACATATAATCTATGCCAAAATATTTATCGACATCTCCATATTTTCCTTTAATTGCATAGAGAAGATATGTAGAGGAAGCGTAAGAATCTGCTATAATTGCCCCAGGAAGGATAATACTTTTAAGAAGTTGGGATTATTATTAAGGAATTGTTATAAATTTAAAAATTAGAATCTATGAGTGCAGAAGTTCTGTTTCAATCAACTGTTAAAAAAAGATCCCATCAGTTCAGTATCAGGCGATTATTTCGGGCTGCGGCCTGAATTCATAATTTAAATTTTTTTTTGTTGGGGTAAATGATTGGCTGACATGTGCCGCGTAGCTGCGCATTTCAGCCAATCATTTGCTCAGACAGAACAAATTTTGATATTTCATAATTTTACCAAGTCGTGGTTGGCTAACTGGGAATATTGTGCTTACGTAATAACGTACAAAAAATAACAAGAAAAAAATCCATGATCATAAGAGTTTGCACGATAACGATAATATAATCTCACATGGTTGTCTAACATACTAAAATTCCACCAAATTCCGGATCAGAATCCATTGAACTCAAAATCACTAATGAAGCAATAGCCCACCCGTTAAGTAAATTTTCTTAGATGGTAACTTTGCTATAGTGCTAGTTGGTGTTATTGCTTAATTCTGGTCTAGCTCAACAAGTAGCACCAAATTTCGGAACCGGAATTTGATGGTGGTTATGATGTTTTACTAATAAAATTGGATTCAAATATAAGCAACTCTTTTATTTGCCCGAAAAAATTTACATTTTTTTCTTGCAACATTTTGGTTGCTTTTATTCGTTAAGATACGTATATATATTTCAAATAATAATAACTTACAAATTACAAACCTATGTAAGTAAAATTATGTATTGAATTCCTCTTAGCGTGCTCTTTAAAGTAGTAGATTGATTTTTTTAGTTTTCATATAAGTTAAAACAAAATTGATTATAAGAAAATAAAACAACAAAAGAGCTTTACTAATTTAAAGACACAAAGGAATTTAAATAACTGTAATTTTACTCGCATAGGTTTAGGAGCTATTATCGTTTGAATTTTATATATTTTATAGAGGTGGTATCTGTATCCGTTCAGATAAAATATAGTTTTCTGTATCTGTTTATTCTACTGTGCAGACACTTACGATCATGGAGTTTTGTCTCGTGCTATCCTTAGTTATGACATAAATAACAAAGCTAATTAGCTAAGGGCCACTTGTAAATCACGCTCATGAAGTGTATTACCGTTATCATTACCATTACGAATAGCGGTTTATTACTGTAATTATTTGAATAACAAATAAATTATTGAAATTCGGATTATCTGGTCGTTCAGATAAACTGGTTTCACCTCTACACCACAACCGAACAGTACAGTCGGTGCCCAATTAAAATCGATTTATTTGCGCGAGTAACACAACTCTAAAAAGGAAGTCGAATTTTGTGAATAAACCAAGTGCGTAAAGATATAAGTTTAGGGTTAGGACATTAACATTAGAAGCTATAGCAATAGATTGATGTCCATTACATGTAAAATTTCGTTCCTGCCATTTTTAATTAGTGCACCAAGGTCGATTTAAATACTAGTATTTTCGTTCTTTTTTAGGAGTTTGTATTACTCGCGCAAATAAGTGCGTGAGGTGGCTAACGATTATTTCACCTACAAGTCGGTCGGTAAAGAAATAACGCAAACCCCGGACCAGGCTCGTGTATATGACCTTCTCATAATATGGAAGTTACACCGCTTATATGTTCCAATCAAATTTTAAATGACGGTTACGTTAAACTAAAAGGGTTAGGCAAATTTTTGACAAATCAATATTTGGAAGACTAATATCTCCAAATTTGACTTATGAATTAGAATACGCAATGATTTGTTGAGATAATATTAAGGATCTTGAACTTTTGTGTTTCGGCCTCAAGCTTTTGAAAGTCTGATACTTTTTGGATGGGATCAATTGAGAAAAGTCATATGCGTACATACGTGATCATAACAAAACTGAATATATGCCCAAAATTATGTCCTTCGAACGTTTCTTCAAGATATTTTTGCTCCCCTGACCCTCTAGGAAATTTGAGTCCCAACTGTGTAGGTTAGTTAGATAATGTATAAACAATATTTATTTTTAATATTGATATTAAAATAAATGTGAAGTCTTTTTTTTTAGCCAAAACTTTTATACTCAAATTTTACCTCGACATAGATCATACTACCAAACAGGCTTATAAGACCACCAACAATCCAAAGTATTAAGGCTTTTCCTGGGGATTGTACTAGTTTCCATATGCTAGTAGGGGTCACAAAAATCCCTTACATAGATGAAAAGGAATAATGAGCTTCGTCGCAAAAGTTAACGCAAATAAAATTTGAAATACGGACCAGCCCCAATTATATTATTTATGTTAAATCCCAATCCTGAAAATGCAGAAATGATTCTCTCCCTAGTAATCGGCGGAATGTCTTCGCCTGGCACTAGGTCGCTATTATTGCTTTCATCTATCGCAGGGTCTCTATTAACGTCTTCGTTTAGTATTTGGTCGTTATTATTCATCATGTAAGGGAGACTAAGAAAATATTCGTATGAATGAATTTACTAAACAAATTACAACCTTAATTTAGTCAAATCCGAACAATTATCCGTAACCTTTGACACAATCTTTATCAGGAAATTTGCATGGAAGCATGGAAATATCTATGTAGCTCATCAAAGCCTTTTTTGTTCAATATTACACAAACGTTTATACAAAGATTTGGAATTTGTGAAAAATTGTTCCTTTGATGCCCATCGTTGCAACAGCATGGTCAATTTTAATGTAGTAAATTATTCATTAATGTTCATACTCCATTTCAATCTCAAAATGTAATCGTCAAGCAGGGACAGCGAAAAATATAGATTGATGTTGATTTTTGCAATTTTTAATGTAGTGTAACAATATCACTTCGGGCAAAATTAAGTGTATAATTTGAGCCGGACAACACAAATTTGGGCAACCTGGACTGTCGGTAAGTTTCGGAAACGTAGACAATCAAGCTGTCGATGTTACACGACTGATCCTTCACCCGGCGTGCAACATATAAAAAAATTACCGCTCAAAGTTCTCAGATTTTTCTAGCATCTAAAATAGCACAAGCAATGTCACGAAAACAATCAAACTAATTTATTTATTTATTTTGTATTCTATAGACATGTTTGAATTAAAATAAACCAATTTTAGTTGTATTTGGATATGTGGTTGTCGTAATATCGCTAGTGCTATTTTAGCTGCTAGAAAAATCCGAGACTCTGACTCCGCTAGTACATGTATGATTATATATAATCTACACCATTTTACGTATTATTATAATCATAGCATGCAGGGCCGATGATTTTCTGTTCCACAGAATTCACGAATATGCTTATTTCATTGCAGAATACCACAGAAAATAGTAAATGATGTAGAAGGATCACATAATACAGAATCAAAAGTTATATATATATGCACAGAATGTTTTTTTAGCACCAGATCATCGGCCCTGATAACATGTACTACACCGGTTCCTCCTGTTTTACTGATCACGTTATATCGTGTTACATCAAATCGTGCATACTGATTGGCCAATCTTGGTAAATGATTATATTTTTAAGGTTACGCGTTCAGAAAGAAGGCATGGGACTGTTACAGCTTATGCTGTAACTAGTTACAACATAAGCTTTAATAATCATAAGCCGTGGCAATTTCTATTGCATCCCTAAATCAACAAACGTAGCTAGAGAATGTGATGTTATAGACTTTCACACTTGCACACTCACATAAAGAATTGACAATAAGTCTCGATACTCTTATTTACCCTTCAATGCAACCAGTCTGAGACAATTAAGATTCTTGATCAAACCATTACCATCTCAGAGTAATCTCCAGATTCTACTAACAGCACTTCTCACTCATTCTACCGTTGTGATGATGTCTAGCGCTATTTCATTTGTCAATTTTCTGGTGCATATCACCGGTTTAATTTGAATTTGTTACATTCAAAACCTATAATAATAGACTGGGTATCGTACACAGCTGAGCGTTTATATCGTAATAAAGAAGACTCTAAGTGCATACACACTTGCATTTATAATTATACTTGCTGGCAAATCGCTTTTATAAAAAATCACCAATTTTGGATATTTTGTAAATATATTATATATAGCTATAAGAACATATATTATTTGTTTAAATAAAGATGATTAATAAAATTTTTGAGATATTAGTTTGGGCTTGAGTTTGGGATTTGGGACGGACAAACCTAATGATGGGCAATGCGCGCGGGATTCATCACGTGATGTTACGAATAATTCGGGCCAATGTATAATTCCGGCCGAAATTTACAGTAATCCCGGTAACAATCCGCGAATCCCGCGTGGGATTTTTAAAAAACCGCGATTTGCTCATCACTAGACAAACTCATGGGAGGAGCTTATACTTTATGCTTTTATGGGTTGTTTAAACTCTGGCGGTTGGCTATGTTTATATGTATGCACCATATCATAGCTGATGCATTTCGATCAGGAATAATTCGAAATCAAGGAAAGGAATGCATCATTATATTTAAGATAAACATACAATAAAATTTCTCTATCCTTAATTATTTATCTTCGTTGCTTTTATACATTATGACATGATAATCAAGTACACCACGTTAACTTGCTATTAAAAACAGAATTATAAAGTTAATGCGCATACTCCAACACATCTATATGGTATCTTAATTTAGATGATATATATTAAGAACCAGGAAATACAATCTGCATCAAGGAATAACGAAATCGAGAATTCTTTATGTCACAAATTTTTAAATTTTGACATTATGCTTTTGTATACGGATAAATTGGTTTAAAAACTTTACATTTTATTTATCACAATTTTTAAGACTTAAAATTTCTTATGTCTGTGAAAGTAACAATTAGATGTTCAAAGATTTAATCGAAGTAATCTCATAGTAATAACCTCCAAAATTTTGAACGTAGTGCTGTTTGTTACGTAATTCTTTTGAATAATGGGGTAGCATTCTATTGTGTCAGTATATCACATAATTAACCGTTGATTTTATCACTTAGGTGGGAGGAGAATTGGTCTTAAAAAGAAATTACGTAATAAAGGCACATACGTTCTAAATAACAAAATTCTTCAGGACAACGATTATGTAATCTGCCTCTCTTATTGAATGTCTTCATTCTACCTGATGAAAAGATTAACAACACCCCATTATATCTATGGGGTATGGCATGCTTGAAATTGCCCAAATATTTTCCTCTGCTTCCAATGCTTGTTGTTAGGGATCCAAACCTACTGTATGTTTATTCGGATGCTCATGGTGTTGTTCGAGATAAGAATGTTATTCTTAATGAATCCGACTTTTGGAGTAAGTTAAATATTAGGCGTCACCATTTCTATTCGGTTCAATCGGAGAATATTGAAAAACTTCTATATCCTTTATTCGAAATTGAGAGTCGCCGGTTTTGATCGCTTTTTCGTAATTTGTTTTAGAGCATCCCCAAACCATTTCATCGTTAGACATATATAGATCTAAATAACCAAAAGATGGTCTAAGGTCTTCCATACAGCAAATTGCAACGTCTTTATTTTTAGCCCTACTAAGTTTAGAACTGGATTGTTCATTTGTTTTTAAGGAAAAAATAAAACTAGCATCAGTTTCCTTATATTTTCTCCCTCTAATTCTTTCCCAGTTTAAGGGATTATATCCTCCGAGAATCTCCCCCGTATTTTCAACCTCTAAGATTATAACTGTTTGATATTTGTCCTTACATTTGTTGTAAAAAGTGTTCCTTTTAAATCCATCTTTGCTACCCCTAAAAATTAATTTTAGCTCATGATCATCATGAGATAAAGGATCAATCCAAGAGAGAATTTCTTTTACGTGTTCATCATTGATAATATTTGAAAATTTTTCATCTGATTGGGAATATTCAATAATAGCATCATCTTTATGAGGTTGAATATCTTTAGTAAAATTGTCTGATGAAGAAAACATCTTTTTTAAAACTGATTGAGAAGATTCAATAATAACACCATCTTTATGAGTTTGAATATCTTTAGTAAGATTATCTGATGAAGCAAATACTTTTTTCAAAAATGACAGAGTCCTTTGACGTTTTAACCTTAAACTATTAGACGGTTGGACATTTTTAATATCTTCAAGAACCGTCTCTTGATTATTACAATTTTCACGAGAAAAAGAATATCGAATATTTTTTAATGTATTAAGGACAGCTCTAATTTTTGGACGCACCCTAGGATCATAATCCCAACAACGTTGGTAAAGTTTAACGTAATCGGGGGGTGTATTTTCTATTGGGCCTTCTCTGTTTCCATTGACAACATGAAGTGGAATTGCTATCGGGTTCTCAAAGGAACTGAAAGGAGGCTTACCACTAGAAATCTCCCAAATAATTACTCCAAAACTATAAATATCAGATCTCTTGTCACATTTATATCGCTGGTTTGCAAAGCACTGAGGTTCTAAATATCCATACATTCCACCAGCTTTGACCATAGTTACTTCGTCCATATGTTTAGAAACTCCAAAGTCAGCAATTAACATTTGTCGATTATGAACTAATATATTCTTTGAATGCTATTAAGAAAGTGAAAATAAATGAAATTACTCATGATAAAAAAAAGTATATATTCATATATATAAAATTCTTACAAGGTCTCGATGAAAAATTTTATTATCATGTAAGAATAAGAGCCCCTCGGCGATTTCTTGTGCAAATTGTAGTTTATCTGACCATTCTAATTTTGAAAAGTTCCTTAAATATTCACGCAAATTTCCTTCATCAGCGAGTTGCAAAATTAAGTTGTACTGGTTATTTATGGGGTCTGTTTGAAATGAAAAATTATAATTATCGATCTATAAAGATTAGAATTTCCAGACTTATACGAAAACAACCTTCAAGATCGCATGCCAAAAAATTACCTTTAGTGACCCCATAAAATTGAATAATATTCGGATGTTTATGTCTGTCGACGGCAATAAGCATCTGAAGCTACACATTAGGAAATGTTAAGATATTAAATTCAG